TTAGTGTTAGTTAAGAATTAAATTGAAAATAAAAATATTTTTGTTTGACGGTTTTACTTTAAAGCTGATCAATCCATAACAGCCAATAAACCAAAGTGTCATTATATTTGATTCCATTATATTATTGTTTTATTTAAATCATACGTTTACAAACTAATCAAGATGATATCTCCTTCCTTAATATTTTTGATACCTGTCAAAATTGCTCAATAATTGCTTTCACATCTGCCAAAGCAGCATGAAATTGTGCACATAGTTTTGATTATATTAACTATAGATAGCAATTGAAATTGCCGTACGTATTCCTAGCTATTTTACTCAATCCATTCCCCTGCACATACATCCTTTGGCCAGGACAACTACGATTAAGATGCAAAGTGAATATTAGTATGTTAACACACTTTGGCCCCCTGTCACCAGACCCACTTTCCACTTGACTTGACTGGAGGCAGCTGCTTTGTTTTGCTGTCCCATCCTGGCTACTTGAATGCCGTCCCTCTGTCCTTGTGTCCTTTGGTCCTTTCGTCCTGGCAAACTGTTTGGCTTGAGTGGCCATCCAGCTGCGTGCCCCTGTGTCTGGCATTCGTAATGAAATTCAGACAAGAAATGCCAGCGCCAACCTTAAACGTCTTGTGTGCCGGCCGACTTTGGTTAGAATTGATTTATTGGCTCAGCTTGACTAAGGGCGAATATATTTGCTTTACTCCGGATTCCTAAATATCACTTATCTAAGTATGATTTAGTGCTCAGGGAGGCTTAGTATAATTATAGTACTTGGTAAGTATAGGTAGTAAGTGAGTGATCGAAAACTTGTTGTCTCCATAATTACATTGGTTTGCTTGTTAAGAAAAGCACATTGATATATTTGGGTGTTGCAATAACTTGAACGCGCAATACTTTTGTAAATATTAAAATAATAATCTAAGATTATTGTGTTTCTTAAAAAAGAAACAAATATTTGTAAATATTTGGTTAGCACAAATTCTGTTTGGGCTCGGATAGGTTGAATTAAATATATTTGAATAAAATATACATATAAAATAAATTGCTTAGTAGAAATAAAAAGTAATACAAATTTACTGTGCAATATTAGTGTCCCAAGCATTCGTTTATTTTTATACCCTTGCAGAGGGTATTATAATTTTGGTCAAAAGTGTGCAACGCAGTGAAGGAGACGTCTCCGACCCTATAAAGTATATATATTCTTGATCAGGATCACCTCCTGAGTTGATATAGCCATGTCCGTCTGTCCGTCTGTCCGTCTGTCTGTTTCTACGCAAACTAGTCTCTCAGTTTTAAAGCTATCGGATTGAAACTTTGCACACACCCTTCTTTCCTTTGCACGCAGTATATAAGTCGGAACGGCCGGGATCGGCCGACTATATCCTATAGCTGCCATATAACTGATTGATCGGAAATGCCATAACTTTCGTGTTTGTAAAGTTAGGAAGTTGGGATTTTCTATGGGTTTTATATTTGGCCAATCAATCCGACCTACCAAATTTCATAAGGATCGGCCGACTATATCCTATAGCTGCCATATAACTGATTGATCGGAAATGCCATAACTTTGGTGTTTGTAAAGTTAGAAAGTTGGGATTTTCTATGGGTTTTATTTTTGCCCAATCAATCCGACATATTAAATTTCATAAGGATCGGCCGACTATATTCTATAGCTGCCATATACATAACTGAACGATTGGAAATGCCATAACTTTGGTGTTTTTAAAGTTAGGAAGTTGGGATTTTTTATGAGTATTAAGAATGCATCATATGAATAATTTTGGAGAATATAATTTGCAGAATATTCTGCAAGGGTATTTCAACTTCGGTTCCGCTCGAAGTTAGCTTTCCTTTCTTGTTTTTTAATTTAAATTTAACTATACGTGAGTGTTTTTGCCCCTTAGGTTGAGAGTGTCACTTATGGTTTTTTGCTCACATTTCTGTGGTTTAACATTCAGTTTGAATGCGCCGCAAGCTCATTGTGGTTGCCACTCACCTGTTGCTGCAGGGAGTAAATTTAATTATAGCTCCATAAGTGATCTGTGGCGGGCCACAAACTCTGGAATTCGAATCTCTAACTGAGTTCGGTGACGAATCGCAGCGAACTGAAGCTGTGCCAGTCATAAACAAGCGTTAATTGCACTTTGAGGTTACACGACTGTCTATCTTTATTTCTATTTCCATTTTCATTTCCCTCGACGAGTGCGAGTTATGTGGGAACCTGGCTAAAAAAATGTGGCTTACTCAACATGGCCCAATTGTGGGGAGCTCTGTTAACCAGTTAACAGCGAAGCTTTGAGCTTTCCCCGCTCCAAAATCCTCCGGCATAACAGCCATGTTAGGCAGATCGGGATTGGGAAAATATATGTTAGTCGGTCGGCTTTGTCGGCTTTCCGCGCTCGGAGTTCAGTTTGTTTTTATACTTTGCACATGAAACATGTGATTTCCCTCGAACGCTCGCCGCCGAAGCCAGAGTTTTCTTTAGAGTTTTCCCCTCGCCGCCGGCCGCTAGAGTGAGCGAGAGAGCGAGTGTTCGTGAGTGCGTTCGTGAGTTCCGTTCATTTGTTCGTGTCGTGTCGGTGGACATTTTCCTAAATCGAGATTTTTGTAACGGAAATCGCTGGAGTGCTAATTAAATTTGCATCAGCCGATCCAAGGGAATGTTAGATTTTTAGTCATAGGGATTAGTAAATAGTTGTAATTAAATCGAAAAAAAACCAAATACTCTGCCATAAATCTTAGCCAAAGTAGCCTGCTGTGTTATTTCCACATGGCACTCATAAATCAATAAGACTAAAATAATAAATCACCAAGTTCAAGTTAAATATTTAATTTCTCACCGAATGATATAAGTGGCCATACAATTTCCGTGCGAATTTGTTGCTGTCTACAAATCCACGTGCATAAATAAATGAGGCTGTGACCAGCCAGTTGACCCGTGAGCCGTTATTTATCCGGGCATCCACCTGAGGACACCCCAAGTTGCCGAAAGTTTCGCAGTGAATTTATTGCCAATGCCGCGCTCGCGCAATGCGTTGTCCTTTGGGCCTCGTTGTCGGCCAGCGAAAAGCAGCACAGCGTTAATAAAAATCCTCAGCCAACACACGAAATCATAAACACCAACAACACACCCGCAATAGCCCACACTTCATCGTGCCCGAAAAAATGCCAAAGGTACGTTGGAACCCTCCACATCCAAGTATATCCGCTGTCGACTCAAGTGTGCAATCGAAAGTGAATCCGCATCCGCTTTCCGCCTTGGATAAAACGGAACTGTTGTCCCTAACAAATTTCGCTTTGCCTTTCCGTTTGTTTGCTCTACGTGGGTAATTCTTTATATCAATAAAAGTTTATCTGTAGGTATCCACACACAAAAGTAGTTTGGGCCAAGTATTTATCTGGGCTGGGTCGCGCACTCAGGAATCTTCAAAGTAATAGGGAATGTTTTAAATGGTGAAATAAAACTAAAGTACTTTTTGGGAAGGGTCGCAGGAAGTTACAAATGCTTTAAGAGATCGTGTAATATTTGAAGTAGTTTGCAGCTTTACGTACGATTACTATATCTTAATTCGGTTGAGATTCCTGTGATTTTATAAAAAAATTGAGACCATCGGTAATAATAGTTGATTTTTAAAATTCTCTTCATACTGAATTTTAAATTTACAAAATATAATTCTTTTAAAACCGAATGCTGGTGTCAGTAAAAGAATAATTAAGAATAATTTAGCAATAGTCACCTTAGTATTAGTCTCTGAACAGTCAAACAACAAATTAAGGTTTGTCTCATATAATTCATTTTAACATTAGATAAAAATATTTTAAATATTTTGTCTAGGGATTACACCATAACCAAGCAAATGTGCTTTAGACAATCATTTTAAAAAACACCTGAAAAGTCACTACCTATTTTACCAAATATATAATTCAAGTACTTATTCAAACGGGCGTTCCTTTTTTGTCTAGCTTGCGAGCGAAAATTTGTATGTTTTTATTATAAAGAGGAATTGCCAACAATAAAATACTTTAGCTTGTATTGCTTTGTAAAAGTTATATAGTATAGTGCAGTATTTAAATGGCATAAATGCTGATATGTGCGAGTGAAGTATTTCCGCTTTGCTCCTTGTCTCAAAATTTCGGATGAACATAACAGTCCCTAATTAGCCAGATAACGAGAGAGACAAAAGTTTATAATCAGATAAAGAAATTCATTTAAACTTCACTGGTTAAGCTTGTTTATAAATATTGTGTTTTGCCCTTTTGGCGAGACAAAACCCCCAGCTGAGAGTAAATATGCTAACCCCATCCTTCTCCAGTGCGGTTTCGAGTTGAGGTTTGTTGTTTCTCTTGCTTTGTTGCATTTGACATTATGCGCATTAAATGCGCTTGAAACGCTCCACTTCCTCCGGCTGCTGCGACTCCTCCTTCCTTCCACGAACACAAACTGTCACTGACAACGATAAGAGGGTTCAGGAGGAGAGCCGGAAGTGTCGGAAAGGCGACAGGAGAACCAGGAGCGAGGATCCAGGAGACGGAGCAGGGCGACCAAGGACCGGAGACTGGAGACAGAGGTAGACAGCTGCCAAAGCGCTTTGTAAATTATGTCGTTGAGGGGCTTCAGCTCGAGTGGGTTTTATGGGGAAAGTAACCAAAACCGGAATAAAAGCACTAACCGTATGGAAGGACATAAACATGTGTGTTCGAAAGTTTCCGAGTTTAGGGCACAATGTGCTCTGCCTTTAATTAAATATGTAGAAACCTGGCGGTTGACGCGGCGTAAAGGTAATTTGAATTTAATATTCATACTAATTTTAATATGCAATCGCAGATCTCGCACTATAGTGCGTATACGTAATGCTTGGCTTGATTGCAGGTTTTCAGAGCACTTTAGATGGGGGCCAGATTTAAATGGCATTAGTGTGGAGATGCGCGGATATGAATTTAAAAGCGAAACGAACATCCGCCAGTGACAACAGTTTAGTTCCAAAATTCCACCAGCAATGAGGGAAGTTAAAATACTCATTTGGCTACTGGTCAGTGGAGTAGTAGTTTCCTCAATGGGGCAGCTCCTTGTCCTTAAGGATTTTCTGGAAGCAGTGCACAAAGAAAAACCTATTTCCACTCTTCTTCTGATGCAAAGGAAAGTTCACAAAGAGGATAACTGCAGGAACTGTACCCCACATCCTGGCCCATAATTTGTTTGGATGATACTGAAATGATTGAGTTGGTTTACCATTTCAATAGTGAATTTCTGGCGCTGGTCTATATGGAATCTCTGGAGGATATATTGCTACTCTCAGCACTGGCAGCAAACTTCAATCACATGAGAGAGGCCAGGATTGTAATTTGCCTGCAGTTCATGTCTTCTAAAAAGTTTCTAGATGACATCGCTCATCAGGCGGCTGAGCACAAGTTCCTTAATCTCTTGGTAATCGAAAAGTCCTACAACATCTTTCGATTCTATCCATTTCCACACCCGGACTTTCGAGTGGTTGACAATCCGCTCGAAGAAAAGGAAATCTTTCCCACTCTCTGGCGCAACTTCATGGGAAAGTCGGCTCTGACAATGCCTGACATGGTGCCACCTCGAAGTTTTCTTTCCACAGATCCTCGAACGGGTCGCAGAAGGCTCAATGGCTTCGTCTTCCACACATTGAAGTCCTTTACCGACAGGCACAATATCACGCTGAAACTGCTCAGACCCCTGAATGGAAATATGTCCCAAGGGGAGATTTTTGAGAGGACACTAAAGGGGGAGCTGGATCTGCCAATACTCGGTCAGTTTACTATCTCCAGACACCAAAACTTTAGCAAGAAGGAAGGTTTTCTGTCAATAACAACAGTGTCCATTGCAGTTCCTTGTGGGCTGGAGCTCTCGTTGTTCGACCGATTTTTTGTCGTCTACGGATTTCAATCGACCAATATATTTTTAATAACATACCTTCTTCTGAGCTCTGCGGATGTCGTTCTGAGGACACTAAGCGATCGGGTGAGACGCCATCGAAGACGCTTTGAGTTCCTCATCTGTGTATTTAATCTGCGGGTGCTGAGATGCCTTATGGGCATGTCTATTCCGCTAGGGAATAGGGTCAGATCCGTCAGGGGACAATTGACCATGGCGATGAGTTTTTCAGGCTTGATTTTGACCTGCATTGTGGCCGCCCAATATAGCAACCTGCTTACCATAAGTCCCCAGTACCGGTACATCATGAATTTTCCAGAGCTGCGCGACAGTAAATTAACCGTCGTTCTTAACAACCAGGTCTACAATTTAACCAAGCGGTTTTATCCCGAGATTCTATCGAAGTTTTTCCCTAATATCTGGATTATGAACAGTTACGACCAATTGGAATTGATCATTGCTTTGAATACTAGCTATGCCTACCATACATACCAATACAAAAATGATCCCTTCTCGCAGCTACAAATGCATTCCACCCGAAAGGCTTTGTGTAGGACCCCAAAACTACGGCTGTTCAGTGATCTCACATACTCCTCTGTCCTGCCGATGAATTCGATTTACGGCTTGGCCTTACAAGAGCACTGTCTTCAGGTCTGGAGTTCCGGGCTGTTAGCTCATTGGGTAGATGAAGCGGTTCGGGATATTGTGTCCATGTCCACTGTGAGGAACACCCGATTTGCCAGGTTGCCGTTGGTGACCGACTTTAAGCCATTAAAGCTTCAGGACTACAAAGGATGTTGGCATTTACTTGCGATTGGTTTTACTCTCGCTTTATGTGTTTTCATGGCGGAATTACTAGTGGGTTGGAGAAGAGGACGGACAAGGAATATATTAATCTGAACAAACGCAACAATATAACAACAAATGTATAAATATAATTACTTAGAATGTGTCTATACTTGTTAATCAATATTTAACACATATTTAAAATATTTCTTGAGCATTAAAAAATACATTAAATTGAATCTCATAATCAGAATACGAAAATCCTCTCAGAAGAATATATTGTTACTCAAAACACTATGAGTATTTTGGTGCCCATAAATTCCTAGTACCAGCACACCAATATTATTCATGAAATGCGTGAATGTAACCAAACAGCAGATGGTTCCCAAATTATTGGTATCTAGACAGTGAAGTTAACTCATTAATATTTTTGTGTTTTTAACACAGAAGTCTAGACGATTGAACTACCAATAAAAGTATTGACGCAAGTTCCAAAAACCTATTATCAAGAAAGCTCGTTTATTATCTGATGAATAATATATGTGGGTATAATTATTTTAAAATTGGAAATTTTGTCATTTTTAACCATTATTGGGTATGTGTATGGTGTATTTCTATTGTGGTACTTTATTTTATTGGAATATTTATACGCACAATTAATAGCTTTTAATTTATTATCTTAAATAATAAGTAAATCTGCTTTTTACACGTCTGTTTGTACGCTTAGTAAGTGCATTGCCTAATGGCTTGAATAAATAATTTCAACGTGACTTCAGTGAAGCTTGCATTACTGACTATCTGGGCCTCATCAATGACAATAGAAAGTAAGTCATAAAGGGGCGCAAATGACATATGTGACGATATGCCAGGCATTTATGATGGCAAAGGGGCACCAGGCGAGAGGTTATGACATGTCCGTTGGCCAGATTCAGTGTGGGAACAGGGCATAAAGTCGACATATGGGACCGGGGTTTCAATGGGCAGCCTTGACCGCATTTGGGTCTGTCCCGATTCCTGGAGTGCGACAATTAATTACTGCATAATAAATGCGTATGATACGATTGATGGGATTTGATGAGACGGGCGTGTCTGGGTGTTGGTCAACTGCTATTAGGTTTAGAACGGATCGGAATGGAGAAAACACTCGAAAATCAATCGATTGACGTCAGTGAACAAAAATTGGACAGAAGGAAAACAGTGTAAGGTGACACAATCCCACAAAGGATACATACATGGGGCCACAGGGCGTATGCGTCACGTGAACCGTCGAATGCCTCGGAAGGGGTTTAAGTTCTCAACTTACGCGTTGCCTTTATGCCCGACTTAACGTGAAAAAATAAACGAAATCCCGCAGCTAAAGTTACGATTGTGCTCTTTGCCGTTTTATCATTTAATTAAAATTTAAATTGTAACAGCTAGCGGAAAAAACGAGGAAAGAGCCAAGCAGAAACAAAACTTTTCACATATGAGCAACTTTTGCCACCGTCCCCCTCACTCGGCGTGAATTATTTATATCGCATACAATTTGAATTTCTGGTATTTGCATTTGTCAGATTGTTATTTGCTGATTGACATTGTGTGCTTGTGACGGTGTATGTTCCTGATTGGACTACGTTCTCCCAAGGGAATGGCATGAAAATGGACGCCTCGCATGTCAATCTTCATTCAAAAGAGTGTTGAAAGGCACTAGTTAAAGGTTTTGAAATCATTAGAATAAAAATCCTGATGTTTACATTAACTTTTTTACCGCAAATTCCACTGGGAACCGCATTCAATTTAATCCAAAGCTAATTTTCCTGGCAATGCAAAAATAATTTGACCATCGCCAAATTGCATTCGCATTCCATTAGTATTCACGTTTGTCGGTCAATTTATTATCAAAATATGCCAGACCAGCAGAAGTTGCTGGGTCAGGTCACTTAACCGCATTAAAACCGTCAGCCAGCCATTCGGCCGAAAACTCATTTGATGCAGGAATATGCTGTAAAAGCACTACAAATAAATTTGCATCAGTAAATTGATTTGTACATTTTTATAAAATAATTTATAATTTTTTCAACTTAAATGAGAAGTGGGCTAACAAATATGTAGATTTAAATAAAAATAACTATTATCTTATAAAAAATAGCTTAAAATTATCGGATTAAAATAAAGTATTTTATTACTTTAAATTAATTTATGCAGAAATACTGAACAAGCAGTCGCTAAAACAAATGGTATAATTAAAGAAATAATTCTGGAAGATAAGCAGGTTTAGACAGATATTTTCTAAAAGTGTGGTTGGCAGAACCCCACAGACTGGCAAGAATATGAGAAGGAGGGCCTGCTGGGTAGAGTGTGAAAAGTAAAGAACCTCAGGGCTGCTCTTCTCGCACCGAGCTAGGAAAAGTTCAGTTTAAGTCAAATATTGGCCTGGCCCAGCCACCGCCACCGCCTCTGCCTCCTTTTTCGTCCTCGCTCGGGGATATTAAGCGAGAAACGGCAACAGGACAATGCAGAATGCAATAAAAAATATAATCGGGGGAAAGGGGAGGAGAAGAATAAAGCTGAATGACTTGCAGTCATTTCAGGGCGAGCTTAAAGAGTCATGCCGAGGAGGTATTTTCATCAATTATCCAAGCATAAAATGCAATTGAAATTTTCAACAGGGCGGATCAGGATTTTTATTATGCTTTATACTCGCCACCATTTTTCCTCCCACCGATTGTAAATCGTAAATTCACAGCTGACAGCTTTTCCGGCCGAAGGAACGGGAACGAGTCGGCTTATGTCAGGCCTGGCTAAGTGCATGACAATCACAGATAGTTGGTTGGCGGAGGGGCAGCGGGCAGGGGAGGGGCGAAAGGTCCTGTTTCGACCCGGTTTCGTTGTTGTTGCAACAAAGGACCAAACAGACAAACAAACAAACCGTTCGACATATTACAGCCGAAGAAACAAGAGACAGTTTGATGGACAGCCTGTCAACGCGCAGTCTGTTCAAATTTTACTATTGCACATAGTAGTCTGACTTTTGTATTAATGGCTTACAACAATTCGATTTCATGTCCAACTCAGAGAAACAATGAACAAAACTAAAAATTGGTTTTCTCGTTTTTATTGATTTATTTTTCAAATACAGTTTTACTCAATCAGATATGATTTTTAAACACGTTTTCTTTACTTTTATAATATCTTGCATTTGTTTAAATATAAGTTATTGCTATGGTCAGGCCGAACTGGACTTCAATATAAAAAAATCATTGTAAAACAATTTTTGTAATCCAAATTAGCTCAAAGCTTATTTGAATTACAAAATTGTAAATACATTTCTTACCTAATATAAAGTATTTTGGCCATTTCAACATCACTTGCTAAAACAGTCCATTAAAAAATGAAGAAATTTGAACATTCAATATTTTTTCCAATAGTCATGTTCAAGTAAAATTGCGACCGGCAAGCCCAGTTAATATTTGACAAAGCATGTAGTAAAAGCCGGCAAGAGACATTCAAAGGGCTCTTGCTTTACAAAATTTATAGAAACTGAGAATTATTGATCACAGTTCAAGTTGTGGCAGGCAGCAAGGTGCATTATCATGTAAATTAATTGCATTGCCCGGCGAGGCGTATTAAGATGGCCACTGTCACTGACACTGCATTTCAATTAAATCAACACATTGATTTAATTAAATTTCATCCGTTTTACGAACTCGAGCTACTCAGTTGCCCCCTTTTATTGCGTTGCGGTTGTGTTCGGTGCATGGTAGTTCAATTAAAAATGCCATCGATATGCGGAACTGCATAATTTATGCAGAGGAGTTGCCCTGCACTTCCTGCAGCCTGGCTCTTCATCTTTCGGAGCGAGCTCTTCAATACATGTTGCTGAGCTGGAATAAAGCCACAGAGATGTTTGTGGAATGTTTTTTAATTATTTAAGCCGTGTAATATCAGCACTTTTTACCATTTTGTAAAGGGAAAAGCAAAATGTTTACATAAGCACATCGTATAAAAATAATTAAAAGCTTGGTTAGTGGTACTAATTTCATAACGTTTTTCTGTGCAATCCTTGTAAATCCAACAAATGGCTCCATTAGAACGTCTTTCAGACGCTCGTCAAGTGTTTTAATTACAAAAAGCGCGACACACGGTAAACAAGAAGCCACGGCAGCTCTACACATGCAATCCTAAGCCGCTTAATTTATTTACACGAGCTCCGAAACATGCTTGAGCCGCCTTAGCAGTTTGCGCCACCTAAATTTGGCTTAAATGCTCCGAGCCACATGTTGACAGCGAAGATATAGGCCGAGAGTTCGTGCTTCAGGCATTTGGCCCGTGTCAACAATTTATTTTCTAATTTATGCATGAATAATTAGGCACCACCATCTCAACGTGTCGCGATTCACACGGACTTTAGCCAAAAAAGAGGATTTTTATTGTACAAATCCAATTTGCTCACATTATGCAGGGAAACGCAAGAGTTGTCTCTGTTCAGGTATTTTATTATTATTTTTATTCAGGTGACTATTGCTGTAAAAGCAAACACAATAAAGAAATTAAAAAGCAGTGTTTTATACCCTTGCAGAGGGTATTATAATTTTGGTCAAAAGTGTGCAACGCAGTGAAGGAGACATCTCCGACCCTATAAAGTATATATATTCTTGATCAGGATCACCTCCTGAGTTGATATAGCCATGTCCGTCTGTCCGTCTGTCCGTCTGTCCGTCTGTCTGTCCGTCTGTCTGTCCGTCTGTCTGTTTCTACGCGAACTAGTCTCTCAGTTTTAAAGATATCGAATTGAAACTTTGCACACACCCTTCTTTTCTTTGCACGCAGTATATAAGTCGGAACGGCCGGGATCGGCCGACTATATCCTATAGCTGCCATATAACTGATTGATCGGAAATGCCATAACTCTGCTGTTTGTTAAGTTAGAAAGTTGGGACTCTCTATGGGTATTATATTTGGCCAATCAATCCGACCTACCAAATTTCATAAGGATCGGCCGACTATATCTTATAGCTGCCATATAACTGATTGATCGGAAATGCCATAACTTTGGTGTTTGTTAAGTTAGGAAGTTGGGATTTTCTATGGGTTTTATTTTTGCCCAATCAATCCGACATATCAAATTTCATAAG